AAATAGCCGAAATGTTTACCATGGTCCCTAATACCATCCGGGAGTCCAATTGGGTGGATGGAACCATCCAATTTGCCCCTAAACGACCAATTTACCGGTTTACAACTTGCACCGATTTTATTAACTCAAGCCTTAGCCGAACATTTATGACAAAAATAATGATCTTATATAGTTTCAAACGACATTATATGACCCCGAGATGTATTCCTTAGAATTTCAAAACTTTTAGACACTAGGCCCCAAAGACTCCAAATTTTCTAAAAAAAAGCGTGGATAATTAGCATTCAATTTTTGAATTTTTTTGACTTTTTTTCTCCTGGATATAAAAATTGCCGGAATGTTTACCATGGTCCTTAATACTTTTCGAAAGTCCAATTGGGTAGATGGAACCACTGAATTTGCCTTTAAACGACCAATTTACCGATTTACAACTCTTATCGATTTCATTAATTCAAGCCTACCACGAACATTTATGACAACATATATGGTTCAAAACGGCATTAATTATATGACCCTGAGATATATCTCCTAAAATCTCACGGCTTTTCGAAAACAGCCCCCGAAACCTCCTAAATTTCTCATAAAGCGTGGATATTAGCTTTCAATTTTGGAATTTTTCGACTTTTTTCGCCCCGAAAATAAAAATTGCCGAAATGTCCACCATAGTCCCTAATAACCTCCGGGAGTCCAATTAGGTGGGTGGAATTAGCCTTTAAACGGCCAACTTACCGGTTTACATCTTGCATTGATTTCATTAATTCAAGCCTACCACGAACATTTATGACAATATATAATGATTATATATGGTTCCAAACGGCATTATATGACCCTGAAATTTATCCCCTGATATCTCAAGCCTTTTCGACACCGGGCATCGAAACCTCCAAAATTTCTCAAAAAGCGTGAATATTAGCTTTCAATTTTTGGAATTTTTTTGACTTTTTTTGCCCGTAAATAAAAATTGGCGAAATGTTTAACATGGTCCCTAATACCCTCCGGGATTTCAATTGGCTTGGTGGAACCATCTAATTTGCATTTAAACGGCCAATTCAACGATTTACAACTTGCATTGATTTCATTAACTCAAGTCTACCACGAACATTTATGACAACATATAAATATCATATATTGTTCGAAACAACATTATATGACATCAAGATGCATTCCTTAAAATCTCAAGGATTTTCGACACCTGGCCTCGAAACCTCCAAAATTTCTCAAAAACCGTGGATATTAGCCTTAAATTTTGGAATTTTTTGACTTTTTTCGCTTGTAAATAAAGATTACTGAAATGTTTACCATTGTCCCTAATACCCATCGGGAGTCTAATTAGGTGGGTGGAACTATCCAATTTGCCTTTAAATGGCGAATTTACTGGTTTACAACTTGCACCGATTTCATTTACTCGAGCCAACCACGGATATTTATGACAAAATATAATGATCATTTATGGTTTAAAACAATATTATATGACCCCGAAATGTATCCCCTAAAATCTCAAAGCTTTTCGACATCGGGCCTCGAAACCTCAAAAATTTCTCAAAAAGCATGGATATTAGCCTTCAATTTTGGAATTTTTTTGACTTTTTTCGCCGGAAAATAAAAATTAACGAAGTGTTTACCATGGTCCCTAATACCCTCCAGTATTCTAATTGGGTGGGTGGAACCATCTAATTTGCCTTTAAACGACCAATTTTACCGGTTTATAAATTGCACCGATTTCATTAATGACAACAAATAATTATCATATATGGTTCCAAACGACTTTATATGGCCTCGAGATGTATTCACTAAAATCTCAAGTCTTTTTGACACCGGGGCCCGAAACTTTCAAAATTTCTAAAAAAACGTGGATATTAGCCTTCAATTTTTGAATTTTTAGATATTTTTTCGCCTAGAAATAAAAAATTTCGAAATTCTTACAATTGACCTTAATGCCCTCCAGGAGTCCAATTGGTATGGTGGAACCATTCAATTTTTATCTTTAAACGACCAATTTACCAATTTACAACTTGCATTGATTTCTTTAACTCAAACTTACCACGAACATTTGACAGTATATAATGGTCATTTATGGTTTCTAACGACATTATATAACCCTGAGATGTATCCCCTAAAATCTCATTTCTTTTCGAAACCGGGCCCCGAAATCTTCGAAATTTCTCAAAAAAGCGTGGATTTAGCCTTCAATTTTGGAATTTTTTTGACTTTTTTTCGTCCGGAAATAAAAATAGTCGAAATGTTTACCATGTTCCCTAATACCCTCTGGGAGTCCAATTGGGAGGGTGGAACCATCCAATTTGCTTTTAAACGACCAATTTACCAATTTACAACTTGCACCAATTTCATTAACTCTAGCCTACCACGAACATTAATGACAAAAATAATGATCACACATGGTTCCAAACGACATTATATGATCCTGAGATGTATACCTAAGAATTTCGAGACTTTTAGACATTGGGCCCCGAAAACTCCAAAATATCTCAAAATGGTGGATATTAGCGTTCAATTTTTGAATTTTTTGACCTTTTTTCGTCTGAAAATAAAAATTGCCTAAATGTATGTCCAATTGGGTGGGTGAAACCATCTAATTTGCCTTTAAAAGGTCAATTTACCGGTTTATAATTTGCACCGATTTCATTAACTCAAGCCTGCCACGAACATTTATGACAATATATAATGAGAATATATGGTTCCAAATGGAATTATATGACCCCGAGATGTATCTCCTAAAATCTCAAGTCTTTTCGACACCAGGCCATGAAACCTACAAAATTTCTCAAAAATTAAAGCGTGGATATTATCTTTCTATTTTGGATTTTTTTGACTTTTTTTTCGTCCGGAAAAAAAAATTACCGAAATGTTTACTATGGTCCCTAGTACCCTCTAGGATTCCAATTTGGTGGGTGAAACCATCCAATTTACCTTTAAACGACCAATTTACCGGTTTACAACTAACTTGCACCGATTTCATTAAATCAAGCCTACCACGAACATCTATGACAACATATAATAATCATATATGGTTCCAAAAGGCTTTATATGACCCTCATATGTATTCCCTAAAATCAAAGACTTTGCGACACCGGGCCCCGAAACCTCCAAAATTTCTCAAAAAGCGTGGACATTAGCCTTTAATTTTTGAAATTTTTGACTTTTTTCGCCCGGAATAAAAATTGCCGAAATGTTTATCATGGTCCCTAATACCCTCCGAGAGTCCAATTGGATGAGTGGAAGCATCCAATTTGGCTTTAAACAGCTAATTTACCGGTTTACAACTTGCACCGATTTACCGGTTTACAACGACCAATTTAATTAACTTGCACCGAACCCGACATGAACTGATATTGACCCAAACCTGTTTCACCCGTCAAAACTCGAATTTAACCCGAATTGTTACTAACGTGACCTGAATTCAACCCGAGCTGTTCTTAACCCGACCCCGAATTAACCCAACCTGTTACAAATCCGACCCGAAATCAACTCGACTTGTTATTGACCTGACCCAAATTAAACCCGACTTGTTATTGACCCGACTCGAATTTTACTAGACCTTTTACTTACCCGACCTAAAAATTCATCCCGAAAAGTTACTAACTCGACTCGAAATTAACACGACTTGTTATTGACCCGACCTAAATTCAAACCAAATTATTCCTGACCCGATTTCAAATCACCTTAAATGCAATTTAGACCACCTTATTATTGTTGATCAAAGCATTTTGTCTAGGGAGACCAAGTCGGTCCAGGCCAGCAAAAGAAATGAGCATCATCCTCAAATTTAAGACTTAAATATAGTATATATTTGTTGTATGGTCAAAGGAGATAATTATTTTCCTAAATTATAGACTATTCACTAGTATATTGCCATATATTTATAGTCAAAGGTAATAATTAACTTGATAAAAATGATAATTATTTATTTATAGTTAGTTGAACCCGAATATGACCTGATTTGGAAATGACGCGACCTGATTGGAACCTGCAAATGATTGACTTGAACATAACCCACCTTGAATCCGAGAGTGACCGAACTTGGAAATGACCCAACCTGATTATTATAACCCGCAAATTATTGACTTGAGCTGAACCCGACTCAAACCCGAGAATGACCCGACCTGATTCTAACCCGTAAATTATTCACTTGAACTGAACCCGAGAATTACCCTACCCCGTTCGTTTTAACCCGAATTAAACATGACCTATTGCCCACCTAACCCGAATGTAACCTGACCTGTTATAAACCCGACCCAAACCTGATAAGAAGTATGACCCGACGTGACCCGACTCAAGCATGACCTAACCCAAACCGACCCGCATAGGTTATGGAATTAATCCGAATTGACCTGACCCAGTCTTACCCGACCCAAACCCAACCCGTTTACCCAAATTGACAGCTCTAAGTACAAGTTCAGCACATGGAAAAGCTATAACTTTTGCAATAAATAAGGAAATTTTATGCTGTGATAAATGAAATTTTCATGGTGTTTAATACTTTAATTGGGGTGAACTCATTTAAAAAGCTAGGCAAAAAGTGAAATATGCACTGTAATACTTCATCCGTATCGTAATAATCGCAATATTTTTCATTTACATTCATTTCACAATAATTGCAACAATTATATTACTCCGTAGTAATTTGGTAAGGACCCATCACTATTAACCCCATTTGTATAGATATTTCTATACAGAGTATTTTTCTCTCCCTTTTACCCCACTTGTATAAATATTGTAATTTGTTTTTTTACTAACTATAGTCTAGATTATACGAAGTAAAATTTACCTTACGATCACTATCCTATGAATTTTCTAAAGCTTAGGGTCTGTTCACTTCAACTTAATTTCAGTTTAATTTCAGTTCTGTTCAGTTCAGCTACAATCAGTTCAATTTAGCTCTTAATTTTCGTCTCTTATAAAATATTCAGTTCAGCTCAGCTCAAGTATTATTTTGAAACGAATGAAATATATATGAGACTATAAATTAAAGCTTAAATAATACTGAGTAAAAAAAAAAAAAAAAAAAAAAAAAAAAAAAAAAAAAAAAAAAAAACAGCATCAAAAGAGAAGAAACACAACGAAGGAATCAGGAGTGAGAGAGTGAAAACTAAAAAAGGAAAAATGATATACAGAAAATGGAGTTTGCTCAGCAGCACCGCGGTTGTCACCGCCGGAATTGTCGGTGCCGTCGCTCTCGGAGATCTCCTTTTCAATCGCAAAGTTAGTCTCTTTCATCTCCTTTTTCTAATTCTGCCCTAGATTTGACTTTTTGATTTATCATCAATTCATCATCTTCATCGATTTTACGATTATAATTACGATTACAATTTCTTAAAGTTACGATTTTTAGTTCTATACCTAACTATCAGAATTTTGAAATTATCAATGAATTTGAAGTTGAAATTATATATCAAGTATAATTGATTTTTTAGGGTTAACATGATGTTTTTATTGAGTTGTTTATTTGTTGTTGTTGGGCTATGTTATTTCATTGATTTAGATTTGTTTAGCTAGGAAGAAAAACGATTTCGTTGACAAAATGTAGCCAAACATTCAAGAAAGATTGTTAAACTTAGCTAGTCAATATAGTAGGCTTATTTGACAATATTTGAATGAGAAGAGAGTAAAGTTTTGAGATGGAATTTGTTATAAACATTCAAGAAACATTGATTCTACTGAAATTTCCTATTGATGTTATCCTCATTTATTTTGGCATATGCCTATGTGGATGGCTATTCGAGGAACGGAGTATATTCTTGGTTTATGCAATCGACCCCATCCAATTGGGAATCGAACTTTGGTAGTTCGGTTTTGTTGTCGTCGCTGTTGTTTTCTTGCCATATGCCTATTATGAATGTTTATGTTTGTATTTGTTAGAATACCTTATTGTTTGTCATCAATTTTGAATTTGTCCTCGTTATAGCTTACTACTTTGGCTTATGTTATGATTTGACTGATGCGAATGGAGGGTTTTTCAAAGGTGATTTGATTCTTTAGCTTGGATAGTTCTAGGGTAGTAAAATTGTTTCTTGGAGATTGTTACAGTATACTCATTTTCTTGATTTTGTAAGCTTTGTTAAATTTTATTCGTTTTCTTGATTGACATGAATGAATGGATTCTGACGAGTGGATCAGATTTATTAGCTCGGGTGTTTCTAGGGTAGTAAATTTGTTTCTTGGAGATTGTTAGATTCTATTCATTTTCTTGATGATCTTGTCAAGTTGTTCAATTGACATTGGGGTTTTTGAAGGGTTCTTAGATGTTTCTAGGATAGTAAAATTGTTTGTTTGATATTGTTAAATTATACTCATTTCATGATGATTACATAAACATTGTTTTAACTTCTAATCATAAATACCTTGACATTTAGATTATAAACTTTGTTAGGATGTTGTCGTCTCTTTTAGTTGTCTACGTATTTGGCAGATTGGTATATATTTTAATCTAGAATCCTTTTCTCTAATTTGAAAATGGATTGTTTATTCAATGATATTGTGAGGACTAGTGTAATCTAGTATAACATTCTCATGGTTTTTTATGAGGACTCCAGGGAACCTATATTCCCGTGACAATGTTTTATAATACTCATAATAATAATCTCAGAGCTGACTAGATGTTTTGTTTGTGGAACTGAGAGAAGGTTGGCTTACTAATTAGTAGGAACTTCTCTGTGTTAGTGGTTAATGCTTATGCTGAACTAACATGGTGGGAATCATGAGATGTATTCCTTTCTGAATCTATAGCTAGATGCTTTATCTATCCTTCTGTTCAAATAATCCACAGTTCTAGCTCTCAATGCTTAAACTTATAAATTATGGTTTGCACCAACTGATGTTAAGCTTGTTTGTGTTTTGCTGTAGGATCCTTATCCGGTACCAAAATTGAAGAAAGACAATGCATTGTCATTGAAGTAGAAGTATTTCTCAAGGCTGTATTGTTTTGACCCGAGCTTCTTCTGAAATTTGTTTGTTTTAATGCAATGGAACTGTTGAATAATATCTTACATGAAATTGTAGTTGTGTAGCCGAATAAATTTCACCTTGTGGTTACAGACAGCATTTGGCATATCATGCCTACAAAATTAATGGAAAAATCTTTCTCATATCATTTCTCACTTGCTCTTTTTTTTTCATTGCATCTCTAGCGCATCACAGTGTAAATTTATATTGGATGATATGTTTGCGTGTTATATGCCTACTGAGTTGTGTCACAAGTCATGCTATAATTTGTGTCAAGAAATGATAGGAACAAATCATATACTACGTAATTATATTATGTTATGTTTGGAGGTAGTAATTATATTATGTTCTGTTTAGTTTTGTTTTCTGTCAGTTAAATTTCTTGGGCATTCTGTACTTCTGTTAGCCGTTGCATTTCGTTTGAGTTTAATTGGCCAGAATAAGATAAATTTAAACTCATGTAAGCAGCTATTTTATGGTTCTATCACTTTGGTCATGTAGTTAAAGATCTTTGCATTAGTAATTTAGTACAAAGCAATTTGGAAAATTCATAAAATGCCAATTTTTTTGGGCCACTCACTATTTTTGGCATCAACCATTATCTTATCATCTTATCATATCCCTTCTACCCCTGAATTCAATGATAACTCTTGCTGAAAATTTTTGGAGATGCTACTTTCTTTCTGCCCAACGTCTAAGGTCTGCTTCTCACACCTTCGAAGTTCAAGCTACCAGTCCCCGTTGCCTCCTCCTGCCAGTGCCATTGTCATCTGCTCTCTGTCTTCTTCCCCTGCCACTGCCATCCGCTTCCGCACTTCATACCGTGAAAAACTAGCCTACCTAAGAAATCTTGGCATTGTAGATTCGAATCCGAAAAGCACCAATGTGCCCTCTCATGCGAATTTGGATAAAATTCTCACCATCATCAAATTCCTAAAATCTAAAGGATTTTCAGATAGTGATATCCCAAAACTTACTACCAGTTGCCCTAAACTCTTCTTGTCTGATCTTGAACCAGCTGATATTGGACCTGTATTCAGTTTCTTGGCTACTGAGGTTGCTGCGTCTACTCGTGAATCCTGTGGACTTATTCTTTGCTGTCCTGATCTCTTGTTCTCCAATGTTGACTACTGCTTGAGGCCAACACTCGCCTTTCTTACAAGCATAGGTCTCGAGAGGCTGAATTCACCAACTAATCTCAACGCCCACCTTCTTAATACGCGTGTTAGTAAGTTTGAGACTAAGCTTGACTTCTTAAGGAGCATTGGGTTTACATATGACGAGTCAATAAAAGCATGTGCGAGGCTGCCTGCAATTTTCGGGTATAGCATTGAGAATAACATGGCGCCGAAGGTTGAGTACTTGGTAGAAGGGATGCAAAGGAGCATTGATGAAATAAAAGAGTTCCCCCAGTACTTTGCATTTAGCTTGAGAAGAAGAATAGTGCCTAGGCATATGCATTTGATGCAAAGGAGTGTCCATATTTCATTGAAGAAAATGCTGTTGAGTGGTGATGATAAATTTTATGCCAAATGGAAATGAATATGTAGTCTTTCCCCCATTGTTCAGCTAGTTTGTACAGGTCAAAATTTTCCAGATTTATGTAATTTCTATTTATACTAATCTAAGACAACAGAAAGGCCCCATTTTCCTTTCTTAATGCGTCCCTAAAAATTGTTCCATGATATGCATGTACATAGAAGAATACAATTTTTCTCACAAACATCATTTTAGATACCAGATTTTTCTCTCATCAATTCTACTCGACAAAAGTTTTAAAATGTAAAGTACGATTATAGGGCAAAGATCTGATGACAAGTATAACGCATCGATTTTTGAAATACTGCTTGTGTAGGCAGTATCCCGACTAGAGAAATGTCAGGGGAACCACATTAATATACAGTGCAGTTGAAACCAGCCCATTCCAAGATATAGTACACATTACAAGGTTACGACTTACTGACTTGGCTAGATGTTTAGGTCGAACTTTGGAAGTTAATGATGTTGGCTCAGAAAATGGAGCTTTCAAATACTTTAAGGAAAATAGCCAACTTATATGAAATAAAGAACGAGGTTCATACAATGCAATGATTAAAATAGGAATAACATTTTATTGTTCAACTTTTTAGTGAATACACAAGTATCTCTTGATATTGGGGAAAAATGGATAGATTCATACACAATACTACAAATATAACAAACAAAAAAAAAGAGCTTCAGATTTTCGGCTAAGGGGTACAACCAACCAGGGTATGCCAGTAAGTTGTAGTACCAACCAATCCCCGTCAACCCCATGAACCAGACTTCACTGTAGACAGAATTTGCGTAAACTCAAAAGGAATCTGTAATGAATTAATAGGGCAACCTTGCTCTGTATGGGAAAATCCTCATCTCTACAACTAGCATCTGTTTCCCACCCCACACTATGACTTTCACCTAAAAAATCAACATATATAATTTTAGCCGCTTGCAACAATTTCATGAATTGTGTCACTGACAGCATCATCTTCTGATCTAACAGCGAGTTTCATCGCCACTTCTCTGTTTGAATCAAGACCAAATTGTAATCGAACAAGAACCTTCACATTACCAATGAATACGCCAGAAAGAAGGCATGTGTGTGACCTTGAATTGCTTGGCACCACATCAGTACCCTAAAGATCATACACAATGGGAAAGTCATTAGCATTTTCATTTAGCCTTTTGCCAGTGGAAAACAATATATAGTGACAGTCCGAAAAAATAAACCAAAAGAATTAACCAGAGCCAGGAAGCACGAGCTCTCTTTCTCTACCTTAAAGAGGCTGATAAGTTGGCTAAGCTAATATAATTTGATTGCTTCAATGAAAAGAAACAGAAGTTGGCTGAGACACGCTAATATCTGCAATACCTAATAGCCAAAGCAGTTTTCCCATGCCCCAACAGATTTCAGAGTTTGGTTGGCATTTATGGAGGGGAGGGGACGATAGAGATGGAAGAGAGGTGAGGGAAGAGGAGTGAAGTTGCATATTAATAAAGGGGAGGAGAATGGACCCCAAAACAAGGAAAATTAAATCCTGCTCTCCCTTGATCTTCAACCGGCAGTATGATTAGTTCATTAGGAAATTTTCAAAGTAACTAATTTCTGTTAGCTTACCTCACAAGGTTGCATGCCGAGAAGGCTGATGACAGCATTTACTGCTTCTGTCAGGTTTTCCCTTGGGCCAAGACCATATTCATCCACTTTCTCAAAGTCATCACCAATGCTATCCCAAGCATTTCTGAAGTTAGATACACCAACCTTCAACATGTAATCGGCTGCCACAACATCCACATCCTCAAGCTGGTAGTCTTCTTCCATACCATCCTCCTCTATAACCTCGCCAGTAGATGGGTCAACCTGCACCAACATATAAAATTATATTACTGAACCTAACCTACTTTTCCATGAGCTTACCCAAGCTTACCAACAAATATAATTGTATTACTCAACCTAACCTATTTACCAATACTGCTTTAGCATGTCATTTCATATTACAAGCATGTATACCAGACATACTTGAGGATCAACCGATCAAGGTCATTGGGTGGATCCATGCCTTTGTTGGATTGTTGAGTGTCCAACATGCATACAAAGGATACATTAAAGAATTGAAGTTACGTACAGGAAACAAATAGGTTCCAGACCAAAAGGATGAAATTAGATATTTGTACAACTATCCTATTTGACATCAGCCAATACTATTAGCTGAAAAAAGGGACCAAAAATGACTGTCCTAGACGAAAGTAGCATGCTTACTACATAGGCAGAAAGATCTCTGGGTAGAAACATTAATGCAAAGAATTCAAAAAAAAAACGCTGAAGTAAGCACAAGAGAACCACATAAACTTTACTCATCCCTGTGTAATTTACCAAGCACACAGTAGAGAGCTACAACAAGTGAGGGGCAGCATTTTAGATTAAATATGACAAAAATATACAGGAAGGACTGGTGAGAGAAATACATTCATAAATGTTTGTAAAAAGTATACCTCCTTAACAATGAATCTCAAGTTATTTGAAAACTTGCCCACAGCAGGCACTCCCTCAGGCTTCTGGAAGGCGACAAATGTATGTCCAGGAGTGTCATATGGAAGAGACCTGAGAGGCTTAGATGCTATTTCGGCAAATTCTTCTGCTTCAGAAGCATCCACGGTAACGGTAACCTAGTAGAAAACATACAATACCTCAAAGGTCAACAGACAAGATTGAAGAGCATACAGAAATCATTTTCTGACATATCAGAGGCCTTACATCTTCTAATAATTGCTCAGGAATGGTGTTGGTGCAGTTGTATTGGAATACAACGTGTCCATCATATACATGCTTGACAACATTAACTGCATACTCTGTCTCAGCTTCAGTGAGCTCAACAGGAGCTGAAGACTGAAAAAGTAAAGAGCATAATTAAAAAAATTTACAGCAAAAACCAAAATTATTAATCACCCAATATCAAATCCCGCCCCCCCCCCCCCTCTTCCCCTCCCCAAATTAAAAGCAAGGGTTTAGTCAAACCTTAAAGAGCTTGCCAAACGACGAGAATTCTGAAATAGAAGACAGTAATTTCTCATAAGCATCCACACCAGTTGAAGCAGCAGCAAGAGGAGTATCCAACCCAGGGTGCTTCTTGTTTGTTGCTTTCTTCTCAGCAAGCGGCTGAGACTTGACCTCCTTGGGAACAGAGTTAATGTCAAATGGTTCTTCAGAGGGCTCCTGGATAAATAGCAAACCAATGAACAGACAGCTTCAATGAAAGCAATGATCAAATACATTTAAAAGCATGCTTACATAGTTCTTTAGACTAGTTTCCAGATTGGATAGAGGGACATCCAGAGATCCGAAGAGAAATTCCTTAGCATCTTCGTCAGTTTCAACTACTCCACCATCACCTCCCAGCGTATTCAGATAAAGTGTAGCTCTATCACGAACCTGTAAACAACCCCAAAGAGTTAGCTAACACTCATAAGAACATAGCTATCTTAGGGTAGATAAAGCCTAGCATTACCAAATAAATTAAGAGAAGCAATTCTACATCTATGTACACTCATATTCTACAAGCCAGGACAAATGGTGTAGAATGAATAGCAGACGATAAGGAGGACTTGGCTGGTATGTATGAAAGACAACAAAGAGTATCCATCACAAAGGAATTATGAGGTCAAAGAAATGTCGAAAATTTGGTGACTGAAACATTTTTTATTGTGACTGTAGCCATTCACAGTTTGATTGTCAGCCCTCAAATGTCATGTACCATATCCTTTGGTGAATTCATCATTTTCATGATTGACTAAAGAATCATACACAAATTGAAATATTTTTTGGACAGGATTCATCACAAATTGAAAAGACAGTTCAAAAAGATATCGAGATTCGAGAGAAAGCAAAAATATGTGATCATGCCCTCAAAGAGAAGAGTTGCCCTTAGAAAACCTAGTTTGTATTACCAACTCTGAACAAGATATTATTGGTGTTTAGAGAGCCACAAGGGCGGGTGATGAATATCGATCATAAGATCTCTTGGAACCAGGAGAGAGCCTCTAAACAATTGAGCTATCCCTCACTCTCACCAGCTCTGAACAAGATAAATGTACAGCAGTTCCATAGAGCTATTACAATACTATTTTTTCGGTTAACCAGAAATATTAAATATGTAGTTTGAACTTCTGGTTAAAAGGATGTCCCTATATGATAGAATAAAGGAGAAAAATAGATGCCTTAGTCTCTAAATGATTTCGGGTCATGAATCGCCAGCAAAAAAATGGACCAAAAGAAGAAGTTGCTGTATGATGGAATAAAGGAGTAAAACAAAATTCGAGCAAAGAAAATGAGCTTTACCTCATCATCACTGTCAAATAGGCAGCGTCTCAACAGAATAAAGATGCGGGGCTGCACAAGAAAAAGCTCACCATTAGAGGTCATCAAGTTTCAATTAGTATACATTTGAAAACCAGAAAAACCAAGTTAAATACCTTCAGTGAATCGACCATGGCACCAAATTTCGCCAATGTGCTTACAGCACTGGCCCTAACAGTGGCATTCTCAAGAATAACTCTGTTGTAGATATACCGTATGTATTTGCTGGGATCTGCTGTCTTTGGCCCCTCAACACCCAAGAAATGCAGAATCTGGATAAGCAGTAACATATAAAAAAACAATAACAGATAGTAAGTTGCAGCTTAGAACCAATTGATTCACTAAAAAACAATTAAATATAAATCAATCACATTGTAGAGAAGTGTGGACTGTAACCTGAGTGGAAAGGTACGTAAATTCACAGTCCTCAATGAATTCACAAAGGTGCAAAAGCCCACTTTCTTTTGCATCTGGGATATCTCTAATCAGTATGACAATAGAGTCAACAATTGCCTTCTTATAATCAAAACCACCTTCTTCTCGAAGAATATTGCTCAGGAAATTCATGCTGAAATAGTGTTATTGGGAAAGATCAGTAATAACAAATCCAATAATAAAAACATCTAGATACTAATCTACAGGGGAAAAAAAAAAAAAGAAATGTAGTAACTGTTTATAAAGCAAATGAAAGTAGTACACATACAGTGATCTATATTTCAGAGGGAACTTCAGACAAAGAGATCTAATGGCATCAACAACAACAATCTTGAACTCATCAGCAATATCTG